TTTCATGTTGTCCCATAGCTCCCTTAGGCTCTCCTCCTGTCTTTTAATTTTTTTCTCCAATTGCATTTCAGTTTGGGTGTGTTTTACTTCCCTGTCTTCTAATTCGCTAATTCGGTCCTCCGCTTCTCTTAGTGTACTGTTGAAACTTTCAATGGTGTTTTTTATTGCAGCTATATCACTCTTTATTTCTTTTTGGTTCTTACATAATTTATTGACTTTTTTTCATCCATTCCTTTTTGATTCTTACATAATTTGTTGATTTTTTCATCCATTTCTTCTTGATTCTTGCATAAGTTGTTGATTTTTCATCTGTTTCTTCTTGATTCTTGCATAAGTTGTTGATTTTTTTCTCCAACCGGTTTATGCATTCAAGGACCCTTAATCTGAATTATTTTTCCGTCATGTTGCATGCTTCTGTTTTTCTTAGCTGCTTTCCTGGTGAGTCCTCTTTTTCTTCCCTTTGGGGGTTTCTTTGTCTACCCATGTTTGATCTCACCGACATATCTAGTTGTTGAGTCTTTCAGGGGCTGCTCCTTGGGTGGCATTGGCTCCTCGGGCTGTGGTTGTTCCTCAGGCGGTTGTGGTAGCAGCTGCTCCTCAGTTGGCAGCAGCTCCTCTGGTGGGTGCTGTTCACAGCTGTGGTGGCTCCTCTGGCTGGTGAGGGGAGGCTTCACACACAGCTGCTGTTCCTCAGACAGAGGGTGTGCTGATCACGAGGCTGCTGTTCCTTGGATGGGGCGGGCTACACATGCAGCTGCTACTCCTTGAACTGGGGCGGACTGCTCACGTGGCTGCTGATCCTTGGATGGGGGCTGGCTGCACACTGCTGTCGCTCCTCTGGTGTGGTGGGCTGCTTGTGGGGCTACCGCTCTTTGGACTTGGACTGGTTGATTGCAAGTCTGCTGCTCCTCCGACAGGGGTGGGCTGCTTGCATGGCTGTTGCTCTTTGGACAGGAGTGAGCTGCACGTGTGGCTGCTCCTCCTCGGACGGGGACGGGCCACTCACCTGGCTGCTGCTCGTCAGACAGGTGCAGGCTCTTGTGGCTGCTGCTCCTCGACCGGTGCATGCTGCTCAGGGCTGCGGCTCCTCGGACGTGGGCGGTCTGCTTATGTGGCTGCTCCTCCCCGGCTCGGGGTGGGCTGCTGCTGCTCCTCGGATGGGGGCGGGCTGTGCGCAGCTGCCGCTCCTCAGATGTAGGTAGACTGCTCGTGTGGCTGCTGCTCCTTGGACAGGTCGGACTGCTCGCGTGATTGCTGCTCCTCGGACGGGGAAGCGGACCGTTCACACAGCTGCTGCTCCTTGGACAAGGGCAGGCCACATGAGGCTGCTGCTCTTAGGCCTGAGGCAGGCTGCTCACGGGGCTGATGCTCCTTGGACAAGAGAGTGCTGCTCACGTGTCTGCTGCTCACATGGTTGAAAAAATAATGTGCTGGGCCTGCACTTTGAATGCAGAGCCGACCTCTGTAGTTGATGGGTATCCCCTCATCGCACTAGGAATCCTGATTACTTTTAGCAGAACAGGTCTTCCCAGCCTCACTTCTGCCAAGAGCCTGGGAAATGAGGCCATTCGTTGCCTCAGATTCAGACTTCTATTACTTTTACTTCCTTACACTAAAGTTTAAAATGGTTAGGAACTGAAATCTGCTGTTCTTTTGTGATTTCTTCATGGTGTTCAACATTAAAAAGTATTTTTCCCCTCTAATAGCTTGATGAAAACTCAGTGTTTCCTTATTTCTAGTTCTTGTATTATTGTTCTTTAAACACGTTTTTATTGATTTCGGAGAGGAAGGGAGAGAGAGAGAAACATCAGTGATGAGAGAGAATCATTGATTGGCTGCCTCCTGCACGCCTCCTACTGGGGATCCAGCCCGCAACCTGGGCATGTGCCCCGACTGGGAATCGAACTGTGACCTCATGGGTCGATGCTCAACCACTGATTCACACTGGCTGGGCTGTGTTGTCGTTTTTTAATTTTTAATTTACTTATTTCATTTATTGAAGGAAGGAAAGAGAGAGATGGAAACATCACTACTGAGAGAGAATCATTGACTGGCTGCTTTCTGCTTGCCCCTTACTAGGAATCGAGTCGGAAACCTAGGCTTGTTCCCTGTCTGGAAATCGAACTGTGACCTCATGGGCCGATGCTCAACCACTGAGCAACACAGGCCAGGATAGTTCTTGTGTTCTTTATTTTAAAACGTTAATTTATCTGGAATTTATTTTGCTATTAACTATGTATTCATCATTTTTAATCCTCACCTGACGATATGTTTTTATTGATTTTTAGAGAAAAGAGAGAGAGAGAGAAACAATTGATATAAGAGAGAAACATCAATTGGTTGCCTCCCATATATGCCCCCAACCAGGGATTGAACTTGCAGGTATGTGTTCTGGACCAGGAATCAAACCTGCAACCTTTTGGTGTACAGGACAACCCGCCAACCGACTCAGCCAGTTGGCCAGGACTGTGTATTCATGATTTTAAATTGCTATAATGTTGATATATCTTAGTAGGTTCAGCAAGTCACATATTACTGGCTATTTAGGTTATTGCCAGATTTCTGCTATGAATACTTTTGTGTAAATACTTTTTGTTTTATTCTCCTCCTGGTGATGTTACTATATTTTAGGTGGTGGTAGGCTTCATTATCCAGTTGGCGTATCATTTCCTTAGGCTTTATCAGGCATTTATTGAGTTGCTACTGAATGCAGGGCTGTTGCTTGGTGCTGAATTGCTTAGTGCAGGGGTGGGCAAGCTTTTTGACTCGAGGGCCACAATGGGTTCTTAAACTGGACCGGAGGGCCTGAACAAAAGCATGGATGGAGTGTTTGTGTGAACTAATATAAATTCAAAATAAACATCATTACATAAAAGGGTACGGTCTTTTTTTTTTTTTTTAGTTTTATTCATTTCAAACAGGCCGGATCCGGCCCGCGGGCCGTAGTTTGCCCACAGCTGGCTTAGTGCCTCTGCTTGACAACTCTGCTTTCAGCAGTTGGTATGGCCTGCCAAACACACATCTGCGTTCACTTTAAGGTTGAGGCCAGTAGTTCTCAACCTTGGCTGCACATTAGAGTCACCTGGGAATCTTTTTTAAATCCTGACTTGGGCCTCATCGTCCAGAAATTCTGTTTCTTTGTTACTAATGTTATGGCCCCACCCCATAACAAAGAAACAGAATTTCCGGAGGGTGAGGCCCAGAAATCAGGATTTTAAAAAGATTCCCAGGTGATTCTAATGTGCGGCCAAGGTTGAGAACCACTGGTTTAGGTGATTGCATTAAAGGTCTCTGGTTGCTATGAATCTAGTTAAATGGAATTTCTTTTTTTAATCCTTACCCTAGGACATGGTTTTTTTGTTTGGTTTGTTTTAAAATTTTATTTTATTGATTTTAGAAAGAGAGGAAGGGAAGAGAGGAAGGGAAAGAGATAGAGAAACCTCGATGTGAAAGAGAAACATCAATTGTTGCCTCCCGTACACGTCCTGACCAGAGATCGAACCCCAGTCCAGGTATGTGCCCTGACGGAATCAAACCCCAGCCTTTCTGGTGCAGGGGACGACACTGCAGCCAGCTGAGCCACCTAGTCAGGGCAAGTGTAGTTTCTTACAAGTTTGGCCCTTCATCAGGGAGAAAAAGCATCATTGGAATATTGAAGATCACTCCACTGTATTAGCCTTTACTTTTTACTTTTTGAAAAGTTTATCTGGTTGCTGGTTGCACGCATGGCCACACTTTACGTTGTTGTGGTGAGTCATCTCTGCAGACTTGCCCTTCTCACACTGGACCTAATGGTCACTGAAGATAAGAGGTTTAATTTTTCAGTTTCTGGCAGGAAAGGCCAGGTTAAAAATGATGCTGAAGAAGTTATCTGAGTGGCTAGATGAGTCATCTCAGAGTAGATCATTTGTTCCTTCTTTCAACTGCAGTTTAAATTATATAATGACAACATCTTAATTTCTCTATTGGGTAAATTACTTTGTAATGAATGAAGGAAAAGAATTTTAAAGAGATGAAGTAAGTTTTTTCTATTTTATTTCAGGAATTCACTTAAACAACAATCTGAACCACTTAACAGTTGGCTTGGCCCATCATAGACTGTCTTCTGCACATGCAGCAGCAAAGCAGGGGAAAGTGGAGCTGCCCGTGACGAGAGCAGAGAGTGACAAGATCGTCCTGCTGGTGTGCAACCGCGCCTGCACCGGGCACTCCACTGGTCTCTACTGTTCACCCAGCACCCAGCACAGGTCCAAGCACGGGCCGCGACTGCGGAGGCTTTGAAAAGTCTCCTCTTTTCAAAAGTAGGGATAAAAGCATCCGTACTTTTCATAGTTAATTTTTGATTCTGATGTTTAGAAAGAATATGTGTGTAAGTTGACCTGATTTGAGGGATTGGGAGGGAGAATATAAAGTTACGATGATAGAATCTGAGTGAGAACGGCTCTTCAAGCTCATGGTAGTTTTTAAGGCTCCTGTCATATGTCTATTTCCAGCACAAGCTCCTCTAGTGGCCCCAGACCTATACACCTAGATCCAGCTGCTTTCTTAACAGCTTTTCTTTTCTCCTTTAAATTCTTAACAAATCTGCTTGGATGGTATGTACATCACAATATTGGGGTCCAGACTGAGCTCTCCCTACACCTAGCCCTCCAGCGTTCCCTGAGTGGTGCGCGCCACTCTTCGTTCAGTAGCGTAAGCCAGAAAGCTGGGAGTTGGAAATCTCTTGGGTCTTCCCTCTGTAAGAACTTCCCTCTGCGGGAGTTACGATGTCTTTTAAAGTAGCCTTCTCCCAGTAGTGATGTCACCGGAGTGGTAAGCACGGTGTGGACCTGCTTAGGGAGGAAGGCACTTATTTCTACTCTTTGTCAAGGTAGCATTTATATTAGCCTTTTTAAATGTTGCTTTGGAATAAATTCCTTTTTTAAAGATGCTAAATTAATGTAAATGCAAAATGTGTTGATTTGTGTATTTTTGATGCTCATTAACAAATACTCGAGTGTTGCCAGTGTGTGGGGCACCGTAAACACAGGGGCTATGTAGCAGACAGACAGACAGGATCTGCCTTCCCAGGATCTTACATCCTGATTAGGACAGTGACTACAAGCAAGTAAACACATTTAACTCAGTCTTTTCCACTTTTAAAACTGGCTGGGATGATAGAGTGTGCTGGGATTGGGGACTGTTAGGGAGGGTGGTCAGGGAGGGTTTTCTTGCAGCAGCTGAGTCTGAGAGGAGAGGGTGAGCTGTGTGAGCCTCTGGGGAAGAGGATCTCATGAAGAGGGGACTTGGAGTACAAAGACGCTGAGCCTAGAGGAGCTTGGCATGTGTAAGGGACAGAAGGGAAAGGATGTTAGTCTCTTGGAAGTGAAGACATTGTCATTGAAAATGTGGCCAGATGGTTTACATGTGCTTGTAACTTCACGTCACAGTCATTTTTAGGCAGATAGGTTGGTTCACGGTTGAGTGTCGCTGTGAATAAACTTTGTATTAGTAGTTGGGTTTCTTGGTGATCTTAGCACCTCTGCTAGGCCTGAGTCAGGGTTTGTCTGATTCCTCCTCACTCATTCACTCAGCATCTACTGTGTTATAGCCTACTAAGATAGCAGACCACATTTCCTTCCGCCAGATAGTCACAGTGCATGGTGGAGGCAGAAGAACGATCAGGCACTGGAAGTTAGTGCTGTGGTGCCAAGACAGGGAACAACCCGACAGGTGCTTCCGCAGAAGGACACCTCTGGGGGCCTAGCCGAGGAGCAGGCTGGGAAGGCTTTCCGGGCTGAGGGAATTGGCTGAACAAACACCTGGGTGTATGAATTGGACACATTCAGGGCACACAGCACGTAGGTGTGAACGGCTGGAGCTTGGGGAGTGAGGGCATCCCAGCGGTGCTGCCAGCGGTGCTCCACCGTGGCTGAGGACCGCCTGGGGAACGTCTAAAAAGTCTCAGTGCTTGAGCCATCCACCAGAGTGACTGCAGCAGGATCTTGGGGGCTGCACTCGGGCACCCTTGTGTAAAGCTCCCTCGGTGATGTAGCCTGCAGCCACAGCCTAGAGCCAGGCACTGCCTCCTGTTCTCCAACACCTGGCAGCCTGGCCCGCAGGGGCCATGTGGCTTCTCCCTGGTTGCCTGCCTGCTAGGCCTGCAGTCCTGTCTGCTCCTCTGGCAGGAACCCATTGCTTGTTTGACCTGTGCTGTTTCAGACTGTTGCCCACTCTTGCCTTCTTTCCTCATCGTCTCCACTGATCCTGTGTCTTGCTTCCTAATATCCTAGCCTCATGCTCCCCAGAAGCCATTTTGATGTATGAGCTGTTAAATTTCATTTAGAAATCTCAGCTTCTCTTCTGACTTTTTCATCCACTTATGAGAGTTATATTAAATTTCCTGTTTGTTTTATACTGAGAACAGCCCTAAAACCAATTACATAGTGATTCCATTTAAGAAGGTCAGTGTTGAGTGTTTACCCATAAACCAAGAAATCACTGGTTTGATTCCTGGTCAGGACACTTGGCCCAGTTGTGGGCTTGATCCTCAGTAGGGGGCATGCAGGAGGCAGTTGATTGACGCTTCTCTCTCATCGATGTTTCTGTCTCCTTGCCCCTCTCCCTTTCTCTAATGTCAGTAAAAACGTATTTTAAAAAGATCATGAGTAAGGAATAAAGCTAAAGGAATGGTTATAATTTAAGGTGATTGAAATGGTTGTGTGTGTTAGGTTTGGACAGCCTTTTGTGCTGCACTTGGAGAAGACAGTAGCCTGGGACCTGCTGCAGAAGGAAATCTTGGAGAAGATGAAATATTTCCTGAGGCCCACGGTTTGCATTCAGGTGTGTACGTGCTCTGGTATTCCAGCCCAGCATGCGTGTGTACCAGCGAAGAAGCAGTCTCTGCAGGGCAGTTCGGAGTTCAGGCCTCTGCTCTAGGGAAGACGGGCATGAACTGGAGGGTTCGTAAGCCCTGGTGCAGAGCTCTCCAGTAGGGCTCTGGGACGAGGACTTAGCCCTCGTTCTGTGACGCGAGCTGCCGCTGCAAGTTTCCCAAGTTTGTCTAATCATGGTTAGCACATGATCTGCTTGGACAGACTTTGTAGAACATCTCTCTATGTATTTTCAAAATTAGGATTTCAGTGGTCAGGTATCCATGGGAAACTGACATTAAGTTAATGTTCCACGGCTGCCACATATTACCTGTCTTGCATAACGTATTTGCTGTGTAAATTGTATTTGGGTAAATGATATTTAAAGTGTATTAGAGCAGCTCAACAACCTAATGGAACATGATGGAGGAGCATTTTACAAAAGTTTCCCCCCTCTAATCTGGTTTGGAAACACCACTGTGATCAGATGCCCTTAGGATAGTGGTTCTCAACCTTCAGGCCCTTTAAATACAGCTCCTCATGTTGTGACCCAACCATAAAACTATTTTCGTTGCTACTTCATCACTGTAATGTTGCTACTGTTATGAATCGTAATGTAAATATCTGATATGCAGGATGGTCTTAGGCGACCCCTGTGAAAGGGTCGTTCGACCCCCAAAGGGGTCGCGACCCACAGGTTGAGAACCGCTGCCTTAGGAGAAATTCAGCCTAATTCTCCTTCCCCATTTGCTGCAGGTGTGTCCTTTCAGTTTGCGTGTGGTCAGTGTGGTGGGAATAACATACTTGCTGCCCCAGGAAGAGCAGCCACTGTGCCACCCAACGGTAGAAAGGTAAAGACATCACCTTCTAGAATTTCACAAGCGCACATGTGTGATTTCTAGTGACGTCTGGTATGATTTCCACAGAAGTGTGTTCTTTGGGCTCATTAGAAATTAAGTACTTATTTTACTTCTGACTCATATTAGGATATCATGTGCTTTAGGATCCTTTTTAGAAAAGCCTGGAGTACTCATGTGAAGGAAAGCAAATTGCTGTATATCCCAGGACTACAGAAAATGACACGTTCATAGTCACCAAGGTTGACATTTCCCGAAGTAGAATTCTCATCATGCCCCTTTCCCCTGCCGTCCTTGCAGGGTGACCTGTGTTGTAAAAGACAAAGCCAGGCTCCACAGTGCCGGACGTGTTTCAGTTTGAGGCTGACTCCTTGCCTCTGTCAGGCCTGCTTGCTGCTCTCTCACCAGCCTAGCCCTTCGGCAGTGGCAGAGTGCCACGGGCTGCTGGACACACAGCACGGCTTCATGTGCCTTTGCATGTGTTGACATGTGTTGACAGTTTCTTTCCTCTGAGCCTTTGTTCACACTGTCCATCCGTCCCCTGTGGTCAAATTGTTCTTGCACTGCACTTCCCCTGTACTTTCTACACACTTATATTACAACACTCACTGTACTAAAATAATGATATGTATATGACACATAAATATAAAACTCATGTTACTGTTTTATGATTTTTTTCAACAAATGTTGTAGTGCCTGCATTTCAGTATTTCAAAAAAGTCAACAATGTGGTTCTGTTTGAAAGCAGGTTACTGTTTGGTTTTGTTATTAACATTTTTTTGTTTTTATTGATCATAGAGAGGGGAAGGAGGGAAGGACGGGGAGAGATAGAGAGAAAGAGAAACATCAACCTGAGAAATATCAGTTGGTTGCCTCCTGGACATGCCCTGACAGGGAATCGAACCTGTATCCTTTCAGTATATGGGACAACGATCCAACCGAGCCACACCAGCTGGGGCAAGTCACTGTTTGGTTTTAGAGATGAAAATTAATAGATTAGATAATGCTTCAAAACATTTCAAAGCATAAGAAGATTAGATGAGTAATATTGAGTATTTTTTTTTGTGTGTGTAAAGGCTCCCTTTGTGTTCTCTGAACATTCCTTTTTATAAGTACATCCTTTTCTTCTTTTTTAAAAAAAATATTTTTATTGATTTCAGAGAGGAAGGGAGAGGGATAGAGAGATAGAAACATCAGTGCTGAGAGAGAATCATTGATCGGCTGCCTCCTGCACCCCCCCTAATTAGGATCAAGCCTACAACCCAGGCATGTGCCCTTGGCCAGAACCGAACCTGGGACCCTTCAGTTCCCAGGCTGACACTCTATCCACTGAGCCACACCGGCTAGGGCAGTAATACTGACTATGAATCCTGAGCTTTTCAGGAGATGAACTGTGCCAAGGCACTCAGTGGGGCTTTATGAAGGAAGGAGGTGGAGCACTAGCAGGACTTAGTGGAAGTTCAGGTTGGCGCAGACAGAGTCCAAGGACAGGCATGATTTATGGGGAAGGGGTGCAGGAGCAGACTTTGTTCCCAGAGGGACTGTTGTCTCTATTTGGGTTGGTGAGAAATTGGACACAGAGTTGGAAAGGTTCTAAAGAACATCTAAGAGTGACTATGGATAGCTTATAACAGGATTCTAAATTTCTTCCAATGCCTATTTCTGTACTGGGCAATTTTAATTTAAGGGTTTTTTTAGTTCCACTGTAACCTACTTATTATATATGAGGTTGTTATAATGGTCTCAGTAGAAACTTTTTCTGATCGGGAATGATGATGATGTTCAGAAATCACATGATTTCAGATTTCAGATAGTATGACCATATTTAAGTAAAATAATTTATTTAGAAAATAACATGTGACTCCCCTCCCTCCCCATCCCCTTTATCTATAGGGCATTAAAATCGTGTGGACCGGGGGGCACTGCTCATGTGAAATTAGTGGTAGAATGGGACAAGGAGACAAAAGATTTGTGAGTATTTTTTACTTAGTATTTATAGAGTCCTTGTTTTAATTATTTTCAAAGCATGCCTTTGATCTTTCAAATTAGCTGAAACCCAAATTTCTCTTTAACTGTTTAGTGTCTGGTGTGTTGCTAATCCTTTATTTAAGCAGTTTATTATTTCTCTCCTATACATTCTGTTGTTTGCTGCTAATGAGATAGAAGCTATATATTCTTGTGTGTGTGTGTGTGTGTGTCTGTGTTCATTGTAGGTCCAATTACTTTGATTTGTATTACAGGCCCATTCACTCTAGTAAGTTAGGCAAGATGCATGCCCTTAGTTACAAAGGACAAGAGTATATGGATTAATTAGCATAGTTCATGGCCACTTCCAAAAAAAACTAGCTCCAAGTTATTTCTTCTTTTTTTTTTTTAATATATTTTATTGATTTTTTACAGAGAGGAAGGAGGAAGGGAGAGGGATAGAGAGTTAGAAACATCGATGAGAGAGAAACATAGATCAGCTGCCTCCTGCACACCCCCTACTGGGGATGTGCCCACAACCAAGGTGCATGACCTTGACTGGAATCGAACCCGAGACCCTTCAGTCCGCAGGCTGATGCTCTATCCATTGAGCCAAACCGGTTAGGGCAAGTTATTTCTTCTTGAAAATAATTTTATAGATAGAGAATTTTTCAAGAACACTTTGGAACATGGGAAATTGCTTTCTTACACATTGACCTTCTTGCTTATGAAATTATATTTATGCTGTGAAGCTGTGATTGTATTTTGTGTCAGTTTTGCAAGATATTCCTGATAAATGCTTTGCCCCCAATGGCAGCTTGTTTGTAAATACTGAAGATGAGTATATCCCTGATGCAGAGAGTGTCCGCCTGCAACGGGAGCGTCATCATCAGCCTCAAACTTGCACTTTATCCCAGTGTTTCCAACTCTACACCAAAGAGGAGCGGGTAAGAGCAGGGCAGCATTTCTTGGGTGGTGCGGTGGTAGGGATGGGGGCATAGCAAGGTGACAACAAAGAAACAAATTATGTCCCAGAAAACTTCCTGGTCGTTTTGCATTTACATAGGTTCTGCACACGTATGGGTATTTTAGTGTAGGGTTTTAAATAATTTTCCTTAGTAACTGGAACAGTGATTCTCAACTGTTTGGTACTAAGAACATAGGTGTGAGAACCTATCTAAATTAATTATAATTAAATAAAATTGAAAGTTCAGTTTCTTAGTTTTGAGTGCTCAGTAGACACAGTGTACATATAGACAAAGTTCTATTGGGCAGTGTCTTTGGACCACTTAGCACAGTGCTTTGCAGATAGTAGGGATTTGGTAAGTATTTGCATGTAAGATGACAGATAGACAAGTCTCTGTGGACAGGGCTCAAGCCTGTGTGGTTTTTAAATCTCTCCAGGTTTGTGCACCTTGAGAAACCTTGATTAAAACACTTGTACTTCATCTTGAGGTGATGTTTAGGATCAGAACTTTTATTTAAATTTTTAAAAAATTGATTTGAGAGAGAGACATGGATTTGTTGTTTCATGTATTTATGTATTCACTGATTGATTCTCGTATGTATCCTGACTGGGGATAGAGCCTGCAACCGTGGTGTATCGGGATGACGCTCTAGGGTCAGGTCAGACTTTTGACTACTGATTGTTACTGTTCACTCTACATACATAGGGAGTTATGCAATTTTGGGTGGAAGAGGACTTGAACGCTCCTTTCTTTCTGATGGTTGGGCTCTGCTGAATTTCAGAGACGTGCTCGTTCAGCCACTGTTTGTACACCTTTAGTTGTGAAGCGTTTGCCTATGTAGGAGACTCTCACCATTTCCTCTTTGGAGGTCCCTGATGGAGACTTAGGTCAGCCTGGACTACATCCCCAGGTCACTGTGACCACATGTGTTCTAACTAGATGGCAACACTGGTATTCTACAGAACGTCTCACTGATTGGGAAGGATGAGTTCAAGCTAGCAGGATATATTTTCACTAGAGGCCCGGTGCATGAAAATTCATGCCCTCGGTGGGGGGGGGGGTCCCCTCAGCCTGGCCTGTGCCCTCTCACAGTCCGGGATCCCTCTGGCAGCCCAGGAGCCCTCGGGGGATGTCCACCTGCCAGCTTAGGCCCGCTCCTCCTGGGCCTAAGCTGTAGTTGGACATCCTTAGTGCTCCGAGGAGGCAGGAGAGGCTCCCACCACTACCGTTGCACTCGCAGCCATGAGCCTGGCTTGTGGCTGAGCAAAGCTCCCCCTGTGGGAGCACACTGACCACCATGGGGCAGTTCCTGTGTTGAGTATCTGCCCCCTGGTGGTCAGTGCACGTCATAGTGACCAGTCGTTCTGCTGTTAGGGTCAATTTGCATATTACCCTTTTTTTATATAGGGTAGGGATTCATTCATTCAGTAAATGTTTATTGAGTACATACTGTGTGCTAGGTACTGCACTAGGTCCTGGGGATTTGGCTGGGACCAAGAAAGACAGTGTTTCTGCCATCAAACAAGGAAGTAAAGAAAGCGGAGGGCATGGGTGAGGAAGGAACTGGCATGGCTGAGAAACAGAAAGGAAGCCAGTGTAACTGGAGCACAGGGTGAGGAGAGAGGGGAGAGACTGTGCTGGTCTTTGAGTAATCCTGAGTGTCCACTGTGGAGCCAGGCACATGGAGAGCACGCAGTCAGCATGCACTGGGAAGAATGTGTAAATGGGGGTCACTTGGGGAGTTCAGTCATGGATCCAAAAACTACAGTGCAGCGTAGGAGAGGAGGGGGTGTGGCCTGGCCAGCAGGAGGCTGTGTGACAGGAACTTTGGACGTGGTTGCCTGCAAGCTCAACATTGGTCAGCAGTGTCGTAAGGATTGCGTTAGACACTGTCCAGAACTCACAGTGACGGCACCGCTCTTTCCATCAGCTTACGTGCTCCCTGATAAGACCCTGGCAGACCAGGCACAACCCGAGTGAGTGGATAGGAATGCACACCTGGAAACCAAAACAGGGCGGCATGTATTTTGAAGAAGGAGCCTGAAGGACTCAGGCACTTTAAGGACCATCCTGTGGAGGAGAAAGTGGATTTAATTTTACCTTAAGAAGCAGAACTTAAAGATTGGAATTACAGCGAATTATTCTGTCTTAACATAGGGAAGAACTTGGTAATGAATTGTCTGAAACTGGAACAGCTTGCTGCTGAGAGAGCCCCCCTTGTGTGCCTGCAGAAGCTAGAGCAGCGATCTGTGTGGTGTGCAAGTCGGGAGCTCTCAGTAGCAGTGTACAGCTCGATAAGTGCAGGCATCAGAGAGGTGTTCTGGAGACTGGCGTCGCTGTTAGATGTTTCACGGCATTCTTAGTCTCCTACAGAAGGATTGTTTGGGATGTGTCAGAAATTAAAGCTGCTTCACCACATGCACTGGGCTGGGTGGTCATGAGTGCGGACTGTTCCTGTGTCACAAAGGTGGACTTGCCAGATGACAGAGGAGGCCCTTCCAGTCTAACCTTCTGATGCACTCTCACCCCCCCAGACTTCCTCCAGACATGACGCTCTCCTTGTGAGAAAGCACTCCCTCCACTCTGCTCCCTTCCCACTGGCTGCCAGCCCTCCTCCGCCTTTCTGCCCAACTGCACATTAGTGTCCCAGCACCTTTCTCTCCCTCCCCAAGCCCTCGTCATCTGCCTGGCCACACTCCTCACTCTGCTCTTGAAGTTCTCAGTCTACACTTGATCTCTCCGCAGGGTTGGTACTAACAGCCCTCCGTCCTCACCACTCCTTTGTGGTATTCGTGAAAGGGAGTGCTTCCAATTTCCCTGGTTTTTGCCTCTGCATCCTCAGGCTCTGGTGGTTTCTGGACATATTTCCCTTAAAAATAGGCATTCCCACCATCTGTCCTGGCTTCTTTCTCATCCGTCTCGGGCAGGGCCCCCCACTCCCCTGGTCTTCCTTACTTCACTGTAATGTGGTCCCAGATCTGATGCAGTCTGATTTCAAGAATCTCTCACCTATTAGCCCCTGGAACCTAACATGTCCCCATCCTGAAACCTGGCCCGCAGAGTTGACAAATAGTTGTAGATGACATTTACAAAGATTGTGTTGATGGCAGAAGGAGAGCATTGTTGAGCAATTCAGTGCTGGGGGAGAGAGAACCGTTAGGAGGGTGGTGATGTCCAGGTAAGAGAATGAGTGAGGACTTCAAATTCAGGAGGGGTTAGTCAGGGTAGAGAGGAGGAGACAGGACAAGAGGCGGCAGAGAGAGAATAACTTTAGGTGGACATAGAGCGGGAGGAAGAGGGAAGGGTTTGAGGGTTTGGGATAATCCCCATGGTCTTCCTTTGGTGGGTGTCCTGGTGATTGCTGAGACAGGAAAGGAGGAGAACGGGGACTATGTTGGTGGGAAGGTAATGAGTTTGGGAATACACTGAGTTTGAGATGCTTTGGGGTCATATCCTCTAGACCAGGGGTGGAGACGCCCAGCCCTCGTGCCAGATAAGGCCTGCGAAATCATTTGGTCTGGCCCTGCCAAGGCATGAGGGGTGAGTTAATTAAATGTTTGACCAAATTTAGCAAGTTTACCAAATAGAGCAGGCTAATGTTTAAGTTGACAGTTTTGTATGGCCCTCGAATGATGTCACAGATATCCAAACGGCCCTTGGCAGAGAAAGGTTCCCCACCCTTGCGCTAGACAGTCAGCAGGTGTGGGTGCCATTGTGTGCAGTTCCCAGAGAGGTGCTGAGTTGCGGGCGCTGGCCGAGAAGCGAGTGCAGCCGTGTCCTCAGGAAGCTTCGCCTGAGGCGCTCACCGTCGTGCCCCTCGCTTGCAGCTGGCCCCCGACGACGCCTGGCGCTGCCCGCACTGCAAGCAGCTGCAGCAGGGGAGCATCACGCTGAGCCTGTGGACGCTGCCGGACGTGCTCATCGTCCACCTGAAGCGGTTCCGGCAGGTGAGCACGGGCCGTGGCACGTGGGCTGAGGGGGTCTCTGGGATCCTGTGCTCCTGTCTGTGTTACAGACACACACCTGCCCCTTGTGTTCTTTCCAGAGTTCAGTGTCCTGTGATCCTTTAAATCCTACACATTTCAGTTCACACTGTGGCTGTTGTATTTTGTTCTGGAGCATTTGCTTTAGGTGTGTAAAGGCTGTGTTTTAGTTTTTGTGAGTGTGCTTTGGATTAAAAAGAAAAAAAGGAGAGCTCCTTTCTGGGGGCGCGAGGGTGATGTTTCTCCCAAAGGCATGGTGGGTGGCGTCCTGCTCCCGGGGGGGGCGGTGGTGCAGCTGGCGAAATGAGCCAGAGACATGTACAAGGAAGATCTGCTTTGTGTTACATTGCTCTGTCAGTCCGTTTTTCCAGAATGGCTGTCTGTTCTGAGGTAGGCTGGTCCGGGACACCCTCACTGTAGGAGGGCTACACGGGAGGTAAACGTAGAAGGGCCTGTGAGGCCTGGCTCTAGGAAGTTTTGTGTCTGAGATTGGGGTAGGCATTAGGGGAGCAGGGTGTGCAGAGCCCCGTCCATGAGGGAGTACGGCCATGCCAGAGGCTGGCAGCAGCTGGTTTGGCTGGAGCACCAGGTTGGAGAGAAAGGTGCGAGCTGAGGTGGACGGCGTGGGCGGGACGGGCTGTCCACGCAGACCCCTGCAGGCAGAGTGGGACTCTGACGAAGGGCTTAAGTGTGGAGAATTGGAAGTGACAAAAATGAAGACAGGAGATCTGAAGGGGCCAGTGCAGTCCTCAGAGCTGGGAGGGGTGCTGATGGCTGGGGCTGCAGTCGTGGCAGAGGAGATGGAGAGACCAGGAGAGGGTAAGAGGCTTAGGGCTGCTGACCACGTGACCTGCACATGGCTCCAGGGCTGGGGGCTTTCACACAGATTTGGGGGCCAGCTGTGTGCTCCCACTGCACATGCCCATTGGTGGGGAGCGGTTGAGGGTTGGGACCCCAGCCCTCTCTGTTTCCTTCCACACACACAGACTAATTTTGTTTCTCTCTGTGTCTTTGGAAGGCACGGCGGAACCCTCCCAGCACCCTGACTGCACCCGCAGGGTGTCTGACTCTTCTCTCTTGCCCTGGCAGTCACCTCCGCTGCTTGGTTACGCCTCTCCCTTGCCTCCTGCATCTGTCTCCTGCTCCCCATTTTTTTTTAAGATTTTTAAAATTGATTTTTAGAGAGAGGAAGGGAGAAGGAGAGAGATAGAAATATTGATGTGAAAGTGAAACATCGATTGGCTGCCTCCTGCAGGCCCCCTACCAGGGATTGAGCCCACAGCTAGGGCATGTGCCCTGAGCAGGAATTGAACCAGCAACCTTTCAGTGCACGAGACGACGTCCAACTGAGCCACCAGGCCAGGGTTCTCCATTCTTGCTGTCACCCTGCCAGTTCAGACTTTTGGTACTTTCTAGCTGGTGGCAATTGCAGTGTCTTTTTTTTTTTTAAATGTTTTTATTGATTTCAGAGAGAGGAAGGGAGAGGGAGATAGAAACATTGATGAGAGAGAAGCATCAATTGGCTGCCTCCTCCATACCCCCGCCTAGGGATTGAGCCTGCAACCTGGGCATGTGCTCTGACTGGGAATCAAATGGGCAACTTCCTGGTGCATTGGCTGCTGCTCAACCAATTGAGCCACGCCAGCTGAACTGCAGTGTCCTTAACTGATTTCTTAACTTAGACAACTTTTTCTGCCATGTTTTATGCACTATTTACACAGTTCTTTACCTACAGCTCTGATGACATCACCTCCTCAAAGCTTCAGTACTTCCCCTTGACTAAGGACAAAGTTCAAAATTTTTAGCCTGAGCTTCCTGACCACCTAGGACAAATCTTACCTTTGTCTTACGAATAAATTTCTTCCCTTAATAGATCCATATCTCCTTGGGGTAGCCATTATCCATGCCCGATTAATCTTTTTTTTAAAATAAAGTTTAATATGTTTTTATTGATTTAAGAGAGGACTAGAGAGATAGAAACATCAATGATGAGAATCATTGATTGGCTGCCTCCTGCACATTACCCACTAGGCATCGAGCCCGCTAACCCAGCATGTGTCCTGACCGGGAATTGAGCTGTGACCTCCTGGTTCATAGGTCGACACTCAGCCACTGAGCCACACCAGCCAGACCTGATTAATTTTTTAAAAAATATATTTTTTATTGATTTGAGAGAGAAACATCGATCAGCTGCCTCCTGCACACCTCCTACTGGAGATGTGCCCGCAACCAAGGTACATGCCCTTGACCGGAATCGAACCTGGGACCTTTCAGTCCGCAGGCTGACGCTCTATCCACTGAGCCAAACCGCTTACGGCCTGATTAATTTTTTAAAGTTCCCACAGACACAGGAAACATTCAGTGAATATTCAGCTGACAGTTGGATTTCACAGGATTTCCCTATGAATGTGTGGAAAAGACAGATTACCCAGGATTGTCAACTAAATGAATAGATGAAGCTAAATCAGTGTTAACTTTTCACACTACTGCTAGAGGGGCGGGCCAGAAGGGAGCACTGCTCAGTGAGTGGCTGTCTGTGCCAGGCACCGGCTTCGTCTTTCTCGTGTTATCACTCCATCACTCTCATGCCTTGTGACAGAGGTATCAGGATGAACCACCCGAAATTGTCGGTGAGTCAAAAACCTAAAAGCCCTTTATCAGGTAAGAAGTGGAGACTCAGGGAGTCTCATTACCCCTTATATGTAGGTCATTGCTGGTTCCACGTTTAGTGATCTTAAAACCTGTTCCTCCAGACAGTTCAAACACTCTGTTTCCCTATTTGTGTGTGTCTTGGGGAACATCAGACAGGTAACTCAAGCCACTTCAGTGGCTAGAGCCCACGTTCCACGTTGAACCCATTCACCATCTATTTTCAGGAAAATATCATCAGGACTTGTCTTTCTTCTTGTGACAGGAAGGAGACAGGCGTGTGAAACTTCAGAACATGGTCAAGTTCCCCTTGACTGGCCTGGACATGACGCCTCATGTGGTTAAGAGAAGCCAGAGCAGCTGGAGTTTGCCATCCCATTGGTCTCCATGGCGACGACCTTATGGACTCGGGAGGGACCCTGAGGACTACGTCTATGACCTGTATGCTGTGTGCAATCATCATGGCACCATGCAAGGGGGGCACTACACAGGTCTGCAGTGCGAGGGGCCGGGTGTCTGTGCGGATGATTCCTTCAGGCGTGTCTGCTTGTGACAGGGTCACTCTGCCTTAGCGCCTCGCTGCCCCTTCAGTAGCCAGTGTGCCAGCTGTGAGGCCAGTCTTCATCCTCCGGATCTTTGTCCAAGAGCAAGCAGAATTCCCCTCCTTGTCCTGAGCGGGCCCATCAGTGGCGTCTGGTTGACTGGGGAGTGGTGTGTGCAGATGGGCAGCACGCTCCGCTCCCCGAGGACTCGCTGGCCTCACCGTGTCTGCACTCCCCACGTATGGTTTCACTCACTCCCGTGAGCTAGCGCCTCCCTGGTTTGGAGTGACTGTGAAGCACTTTTCTAATATCGTTAAAGGGACTTGGAAGGGTTTTCTTTTAGTATCAAGGCTACATTTACATTTTCATTTTTAAAGCATCTATGTTCATCATATGAAATTTAGACCCTACAGAGAGGGAGAAAGAACAGTGCCATCATCCATGGGCTTCTCACTCAAAAATAACCCCTGATAACAGTTTTTAAAATTGTGATGAAGGATACATAACAACGCTTAACATTTTAACCTTCTTCAGTGTGCGGTTCAGTGGCACGTCTCTATGGAATCGTCATCCTCACCCATGTCCAGAACTCTGTTACCTTAAGAGGAGCTCGGGTGTTTACTGCATCCTTTCCCCTTTCCCACGTGAGGTCACACCTCTGCTTGTCTGCTATGTGAAATGGTTGGCCTTGGATTAGAGAACACGAAGTGAAGTGCCTCAGCGTAGTCGGAGGACGGACCCTGTATGTCCGTGTCTGTTGGGAATGCTTCCTGTGATGCCTGTTTGGCACTGCATCTCGCTAGACTTACGTGGTGCCTGCATGGCTCACCTGTATAAGGATTCTGAAACAGTGCTTCTCAAAGTATCTGTGATGAAGAACCTGTTTTTTTCTTTTTAAAAACTTCCAGTCCTTCATAAACCAATACTTTTGCAAAAATACAAGTAAAATATGGCAGTATCATATTGCCATGAAAGCTCTCCAGTGCTTGTCTCAGTTTTGCCGTTTATCTTGTGGACTGGCATTAGTCTTCCAGCCACACTTTGAGTAGCACTCGTCTGAGGACACTTCACTAATAGTGCTGGAAAGAAGGCAACTAGAAGTATTTTGTAAATGCTTCATTTACTTGTGAGTGAGTAGTGTGCTCCCTGGTGTTCACGCTGTGGCTGGGGACAGACCATCTGAAGGAAACAGACGGAAGCCAGTGCAAGGTCTCTCTGTCACCTTCTCTCGGGCATCCCCTGGCAGTCCCATCCCCACTCCAGAAGAGCAGCCGTGGCCACTGCCCTTGCCCTGGCCCCGTTCGCTGCTTATAGCTCCATTGTTCTCCCGTTTGGTTCCAGAGTCCAAGCTGCACATGACTTCCCTTCCTACAAGCAGAGATTCTTACTCTCTCTTTCTGAACCTGTCTGCTGGAGCCCTTCTCACCGGGTGCCCTCATCATTCAGGGTGCCATGCTTGGGAAAGTCGCTCCCACTGCCTCCTCTCAGGGCTTGCGTGCCCGCCCTGGGGCCATGCTGAGTCTGTCCCAGTGGTCAGCTACATATCCCAGCACTCCTTCAATCCCACCCCAACAAATAGGTATTGTAGGAAGTGTGGTAAGAATGTACTTCTCTGGATCAAGCTTGTCACACCCTTGATATATCCTTCCAGGATGACAGGAACATCGAGTTGTCCATTCTTGCTGACTCTTGAATGCTCTATTTCTATCTCAGGCTTAGAATTAGAACTGGAGAGAAGGCTGCATACATCCATGAGCTCAAATGGTCTTCGTTTACCAAGGGACTTCCCTGGGACATCGTTTGTGCTACCCCCACGGGAAGCAGGGTTGGACGGGACTAGACAATTCTGAAATGAGCTGGGCCCTGCCCTTCACCCGTGGCATGACCGTGGGCAAGCTGGCTGATCTTTCTGAGCCTCTGTCAGATGGGAATCGTTGTAGAGCAGGTCTCATAGGTTAAGTGCATGTGTGGCACATAGTCAGTTCTAAGCAGGTGTTAGCTGCTGTTATGACTAATACAGTACTTCTGGTTCTGTTATCTTCTGTCTCTGACAAACACCAGCTGTCACAGCATGCTTACCTCAGGGTCTCCCCCTGGCACTGCTGACAGTTGGGCCGGACAATTCCGTGCTGTGAGCGCCCCTGCTCCCACGGAGGCCAGGAGCACCTTCCCCAGGCTGGGACAATCAGAATGCCTTCAGACTTCCCACATGTCTCCTGGGGTAGAACTGTCCCTGGTTGAGACCCACTGGTTTAAATAAATAAGCATATTTTGTTTCCTAAGATTAAAAAGAACTTTATCTCTGGAATTTTTTGAAACATTTGGCCTGAGTGTGATATGGAATTTGGGTTTTTCACCTCTTTCTCTGTTATTGCATGAGCCTTTAAAAGGTCTTGAGTTAATTATATGAGCCAAAGAAACGGTCTCGGTGGGCAGTGGCCCAGCCGGTGCAGCGGGTGCTGACGGGGCTCTCTTTGGCAGCCTACTGTAAGAACTCCGTGGACGGGCTCTGGTACTGCTTTGATGACAGTGACGTGCAACAGCTGTCGGAAGATGAGGTCTGCACACAGACGGCCTACATCCTCTTCTATCAGCGGAGGACAGCAATACCGTCATGGTCGGCCAACAGCTCGGTGGCAGGTAAGGCCAACCATATTCTTGGGCAGTTTTTCCCAGAACAGAAGATTGTCAGAAATTCCCAGAAGGTGTCATGCCTCTCTCAATCCTCACATTTGCATTTAATCTTGAAACCAAAATGATTGCAGTTAAGGAAATGGGGGTGGCGCGTGCAAGCAGCTGTGAACCAGCCGAGTTCACAGGGAGGGGAACGAGTGCTGGGGAGGGTCACTCGTGGGGTAAATGAGCTGTGAGCAGCATGGCATGCACTCTGGAAGCAGAGGGAACGAGAGGTTTGGAAGGACGGGGACTTGGCTTTGCCACATGTTGGTTGGGTTACCTCGGGGCACGTCCTGTCCCAGGCACATATCCTCTGATCCTGATGCAATAACACTGCGTGCCTCTTGGGGTCCTTGGATGCATCAGGTTAGGCAGCTCCACCGTAAAGCCTTTTGTAAAGGGTTAAACGCTGTTAGAAGCAGCCCCTCCCCGCAGTAAGGTTGACCTGTTCTGTTAGGGAAGAATTGAAGGCTAAGGCAATAGTGTAGGTGGCTTGGGTTGAGTGTGATGGGGTCTAGCCATTTGTTTTAATGAATGCACACAATCTAAACAAGGGGCGGGTGCTGCTTAGTGCAGGCTTTGAGTTTAAGAGAGTAAGCCGGGACTGGGGTGTGGGAATGTGGTCAGGTTAGGGGTTGTTGACCCCTGCTCCCCCTGAGGCTGGCAAGGCCTAAGTTAGAAGCTGCTAAAAGGAGGCCTCCCTGGAGCAGTGGCCCCTGCTGGAGCCAGACCCTGCCCCCCAGTGTACCCCTCTGCCGCTCACTCGTTAACAGAAATGAGGCTCCCGGTGCTGTTGGGAGGCACACTGGGATCTGGCAGCTCGTGCCCACCTGCAGTGCTCAGGTCACGGTGTGCTGTGCAGGCCCGGGCCCTGGCTGACCTCGGTGCCCTCCCTTCTCCGCAGGCTCCACGAGCTCCTCCCTGTGCGAGCACTGGGTGAGCCGGCTGCCGGGGAGCAAGCCCGCCAGCGCCACCTCGGCAGCTTCCTCCCGACGAACCTCCCTGGCCTCGCTGTCCGAGTCCGTGGAGATGACCGGGGAGAGGAGTGAGGACGATGGTGAGTGTGTGTGTTTTGTGTTTTGGTGACAGACTTCCAAGAGGCAACGCACGGACAGCACAGGATCCCTCCTGTTTAGGAACCAAGCCCAAGAAGGCTGTGGGGTGGTGCCACCCAGTGTCCAGTTGTCAGTGATGTCTGCTGTGCACAGGGCTTGTCGTCTCCTCTCTGACCTAGCACTTCCTTCTTCTCTTTCATCATTTTCGACTCTGACGGTCTGGAGTGGAGCCTTGACTCTGTACAATAATGAATACATATTTGAAAGTGCTTTTTAAATGTTCAGGCAGCTGTGAGGGGGCTCAGTGCAGTGCGCCTGTGCGGGGCCCGGCATGGAGCTCCCGCCCGCCCAGCGACTTCCCTCCCTGCCACGCGGTTTCCCGCAGAGGAATCTGGTGCGTTCTTTTTCAGAAGTGTTTAGTACAGAAACTGGTGCCTCTGCGTAGAAGTCGTTTTGGGGAATTCTGAAGATAAGCACAACATAAAAACTTTGGAAATCTGATAAAAATGGAACTCTTTTTTACCTTCACTTACCAGTTGAGTAGTGGCCGCACGCAAGGCTCTTAGTTCTATCAGGGACCAGGTGGGTGGGACCAATGCAGCCAGCACTGCGAGAGCTGGGAAAGGGGAGACAGTGAGCTCAGCTTCTTTTTCTTTTTTTAAAATATATTTTATTGATTTTTTACAGAGAGGAAGGGAGAGGGATAGAGAGTTAGAAACATCGATGAGAGAGAAACATAGATCAGCTGCCTCCTGCACACCTCCTACTGGGGATGTGCCCGCAACCCAGGTACATGCCCTTGACCGGAATCGAACCCAGGACCCTTCAGTCTGCAGGCCGACGCTCTGTCACTGAGCCAAACCGGTTAGGGTGAGATCAGCTTCTTAATGAGACGCTGACTCGCCTTCCTTCCAACAAGCCTCATTCTGCGCCAGCATTGTGATAGCTGTGACATGCTTCTGGTGGTGACGGGTCTTCTGAGAACGGGAGGTGGAGGCCAAGGCAGGGGCTGGGCGGATGTGCCAGCCTGGGGGATGTGCCCCTAGCATCAGCTCCCCCACCTCGGGCTTGTTGCTTCCCGGCTTATATAGTAAGTGTACTGGACTGTGGCTGCTAAGTTCCTATCTAGCTCCTGACATTATTTGAAAAACTGACCAATAAATCTTCACTTATTAAGGTAGAGGTTATTTCCAGCACAGCCTTTCACCTTAGAATTCATTGTCGTTTTAACCGTAGGCCTAAAAGTGGTTTCCCGACCTGTTTCTAACCAGTGGTTGGAGAATCGGTGCCCTCTTAAGTGTCATCATCTCCCAGGGGTGCTGGTGGTGCCCACAGGACAGGGCCTGGCCCTAGGATCTTCTCAGGCAGACTCTGACATATTTCCCTGCTACTGTTAGCATGTGTGTATAGGAGTTGTTTCACAATACAGTGGGGCCTTGACTTACGAGTTTAATTCGTTTGGAGACGGAGCTTGTTAACTCAAATTACTCTGTCAACTCAATGCAAAAAGTCAGCCAAGAGACAGCTGGTATCTCAAAAAACTCATTAGTCGGGACACTCGTAAGTCAAGGCCCCACTGTATTTTCTTTGGAAGTTTTTTTTTTTAATTATTGTTTAGAGTATTACATATGTCTCCTTTTCCCCCCATTGACCTCTCCCCAGCCATTCCCACCCCTCAGCACATGCCCTCACCCTCCTACTGTCTGTATCCATGGGTTAAGCTTATATGCATGCATACAAGTCCTTTGGTTGATCTATTACCACCACTACCACCACCCTCCCCCACCACCACCTTTCCCCTGAGGTTGAATGGTCTGGCCAATGCTTCTATGTTCTCTGGATCTAATTTTGTTCATTGGTTTATGTTGTTCATTATATTCCACAAATGAGTGAGATCATGTGATATTTGTCTTTCTCTGACTGGCTTATTTCGCTTAGCATAATGCTCTCCAGGTCCATCCATGCTGTTGTAAATAGTAAGAGTTCCTTCTTTTTTACAGCAGTGTGGTATTCCTTTCTGTAGATGTACCACAGTTTTCTAATCCACTCATCTGCTGATGGGCACTTAGGTTGTTTGCAAATCTTAGCTGTTGTAAATTGTGCTTCTATGAACATAGGGGTGCATTTTTCCTTTCTGGTTGGTGTTTCTGATTTCTTGGAATATATTTCCAGAAGTTGGATTACTGGGTTGAATGGGAGTTCCATTTTTGATTTTTTGAGGAATCTCCATACTGTTTTCCACAATGGCTGCACCAGTCTGCATTTTCACCAGCAGTGCACAACGGTTCTTTTTTCTCCACATTCTCTCCAGCACTTACTGTTTGTTGATTTGTTGATGATAGCCATTCTGACAGGTGTGAGATGGTACCTCATTGTTGTTTTGATTTGCATCTCTCGGATGATTAGTGACTTTGAGCATGTTTTCATATGTCTCTCGGCCTTCTGTGTGCGGGGTCAGTTGTTAACGTCACCTCTTTCATTTCTGATTTTGTTTATTGCAGCAGTTCTCAACCTGTGGGTCACAACCCCTTTGGCAGTCGAATGACCCTTTCACAGGGTCGCCTAAGACTGTCCTGCATATCAGATATTTACATTATGATTCATAACAGTAGCAACATTACAGTTATGAAGTAGCAACGAAAGTAATTTTAAGGTTGGGTCACAACATGAGGAACTATATTTAAAGGGCCAGAAGGTTTAGAACCACTGGCTTATTGGGTCCTCTTTGTTTCTTGGTGAGCCTGGCTAGAGGTTAACCAATCTTGTTTATCCTTTCAAAGAACCAATTCTTTATTACTTTTTTGTATTTTTTTTGTCTCTATGTCATTTATTTTCACTCTGATCTTTATTATTTCCTTCCTTCTGTTTACTCCAGGCTTTTCTTGTTCTTTAAGTTGTAGGATTAGATAATTTATCACCATTTTTCTTTTCTTCTCTCCCTCTCCCTCTCCCTCTCCCTCTCCCTCTCCCTTCCTCTCTGAAATCAATAAAAATATATTTAAAACAAAGAAACAAAAAACATTTATATCCTTTAGCTCTGAAGTGAGGGGGGGAGCACCTTACACTCGTACAGCACTAAGTTCCAAGTGAGTCTGCTCCATTCACAATCTATTGAGCTCAGAGCCCCCTGGAAACTGCTATTGACCATTGACTGAAAACACGGTCAGAGATTTATGAATTGGAAGCATTGCAGTGACAGCAGAGGCTCTCGTCTGTCTGTTTGAAAGATTTTTTAAAATGTATTTGGGTGCTCCTGTATTAAGTGCATATATGTTTACCAGAGTTATATCTTCTTGTTGGATTGCTCCCTTCACTATTATGAAGTGGCCTACCTTCAGCTACCCTGTGTCTTTTGATTGGAGCATTTAGTCCATTTACGTTTAAGGTAATTATTGATAGGTACTTGTTTGTTGCCATTTTTATTCTTTGTGACTGTGTTCCTTCTTCCCTTTCTATTTTTTCTTTTTACAGCAGTCCCTTGAGCATTTCTTGCATTGCTGTCTTGGTGGTAATTAACTCCCTTAGCCTTTTATTTTTGGCTGTGAAGCTCCTGATTTCACCTTCAATTTTGAATGATAGCTTTGCTGGGTATAGTATTCTTGGATTCAGTCCCTTGCGTTGCATGATTTTGTATATTTCATTCCATTCCCTTCTGGCCTGATGTATTTCTGTTGAGAAATCAGTTGATAGTCTAATGGGAGATCCCTTGTAGATAACTTTCTGTCTCTCTCTGGCAGCCTTTAAGATTCTTTGTCATTGATGTTTGCCAATTTAATTATGATGCACTTGGTGTTGGTCTTTTGAGGCTCATCTTGTTTGGGACTCTGTGTGCTTCTTGGACTTGTGTGATTTTTTTTCCCGTCACAACATCAGGGAAATTTTCTGTCATTATTTCTTCTAACGCAGCGGTTCTCAACCTGTGGGTCGCAACCCCTTTGGGAGTCGAACAACCCTTTCACAGGGGTCACCTAAGACCATTGGAAAACACATATATAATTACATATTGTTTTTGTGATTAATCACTATGCTTAAATTATGTTCAATTTGTAACAATGAAATTGGGGCTCACCACAACATGAGGAACTGCATTATAGGGTTGCGGCATTAGGAAGGTTGAGAACCACTGTTCTAACGGTTTTCTATTCCTTGCTCTGCTTCTTCCTTCTGGCACCCATATTATGTGGATGTTGTTTCGTTTTGTGTTGTACTAAAGCTTCCTTAGGCTCGCCTGTATTTTAAGTTTTCTTTCCAGTTGTTGCTCTGTTTGGGTGTTTTTTCCACCTTGTCCTCTAACTTGCTGATGCGGTCCTCAGTTTCTTTTAGTCTACTGTTGAAACTTTCCATTGTACGCTTTATTGAAGCTATGTCATTCTGCATTTCCTCTTGATTCTTCTTCATTTTCTCTTGATTCTTACACATCTTGTTGAATTTGTCTTTCCTTCCTTTCAGCGTCCTTATATCCATTGCTCTGAATTCTTTCTGACAAATTGCTTGCCTCCGTTTAATTTATGTCCTTTTCTGGTGATTCCTCCTTTTCTTTCGTATGGGGGTTGTTTCTTTGTCTCCCCAGTTTTGCTATTCCTTTGTGATTGTTTCCATGTATTAGATCAAACTACTATGCCACGCAAATTTTTTGAGTTTGTCTTATATAGTAGATGTATTGTGGGACCCAGTAGTGCAATCTCTCAGGTCTTTTCTGCTGGGTATTCTAGGGATATCCCCTACTTGGGATATTTGGGTTCTCTTGGTGTAGTTGGGTCTTGAGTGTTATTGTCCCATTTGTAGATGGAGTGTCCTCTTAGCATGTCTGGTTATGTGGCTTGCTCTCTACTATGTTCACTGAACAGTACAAAATACAGCTCAACAAGACACAACACAAAGGGGAAAAAACACTTATGTACTCATGACACCGATAACCCCAATAAAAATGACCACCAGAGAAAAGAGAATTAGGAAAGAGAAAAGAGAGGAAACATGATATTGAGGAAAGAAAAAAAGGTAAGAGAGAAAATAAAAAAGAAAGATAAATATATGGGGAGATAACACCACAAAACAAACAAACCAAAAAATGCAAACAGTGAACATCCAGAAAAGTGGGCGGACAGAATCTGTACAGGCAGAGCTTTTATACAGAAAGTAAGGTTAAGGAATTGAATGACTGTGGTAAGGACCACGCACGGTTCAGTATAGAGGCATTAGAAAGAGAATGAGTGGATAAGAAGAAAGATAATAAAAAATGAAAAGATAAAACACATTTTTAAAATTTTAGTTCATTTATTCACTTATTTTTGGGAAAGGAGAATAGAGGAGAGAGCTGATAGGCTTGAGTTTAGTGAGTGAATCTAATTAAACAATTAGAAGAAGAGAGCAGGAGAGGAGAGGAAAAACAAAAGCATAAAAAATTGACTAGTGAAGAAAGAGAAAAGAGAAGAGTGCATGGACTTGGAGCAGGGGAGAGGAAGTTAGATATGTGAGTAAGCCAACAGAGACTGCAAGAATAACACATCAATAAAGCAGGTAAAGATCAGTTTTTAACAAGGGGTAAAAGGAAAGGAAAGAGAAAAACTAAAGTGGGGACAGGAAAAGAGAAAAAGGGAGGAAAATGAGAGAAGTGAGGAAAAGGGTGGGGAAAAAAGAAAAAATAAGATAAAATAAAACAATGAAAAAATACACACAAAAATAAAAGATTAAAAAAATAATGAAAAAAATTTTTTAATAAAAGATTAAAAGATGAAGTGTCATTCGCTTCAGCTGAGTTTGAATGCCCCATGGAGACGCCACTCTTCTGTCTGCCAGTTCTCAGTTTCCTGTTAGGTAGTCGGCACCGTGTTGAAGTTCCGAGTGATCCACCGCTCCTCTGTCTGTCCATCTCCACAGCCTTGGCTGCGAGCAGGCAGGACCAATCTGCCCGCTTTGCCTGTCTGCCTGCTGTCAATCTTAATCTCTCCAGCGTCTGCTTCTGATAGGGCTTTAGGTGGGGGTGGTGCTTTATCGCTTTCCCGGACTCAGTGGCCCCTCTTCAGCCCAGTCCCTGAGGGCTCTGTGGGGCTATTCACAGTCTTCATGTCCTTTGTACAGCTCCAGGTGTAGTTGGGTGTGACTGTGTTGGCTGTCTTGAGGCTGCTGGGAGGGCTGGTTCTTCAGGAGAAAAATGGCTGCTTAGGTTTGGAGGGTCAGGACAGTCTCAGTGCCGGTTCCCGCACCTCTCCCCATCCCACTCTCCTCCACAGCCTCTCCCAGACCCCACAATCTGCACCTGCACAGCAGCCTCGGTGAGTGTCATTGAAAGGTCCTGTGAACTGGGTTTAGTGAATAAAAGAAGACAAAATAGAGGCAAAACAACCACGTGACTATGAGTTTCTTTCCCCCTGGCACCCCGCGGCTCTGGCAGCTCTTCAGGCCGCCTTTCTGGGCGCAGCCTCTCGCAGCTGTGGGCTTAGATCTAGACTCTCCAGCCGCCAGCAGCCCGTGGACCTCCCTTCCACAGCTGGATGTTACACCTGTCCCCAAGGGATGCAGACTTGGTGCCCTGCAGCTTTCTTCTGACCCTCTGCCTGGTGGTCGCCCATCTCTCTCCAGCCCAGACCCACGATCCTGCCGTTCTCCAGGCAGCCTCTGCTCTTCCCAGCTGTGAATTGTCTCACCAGCTGTGTCCAATTTGCCAATTCCGGGTGGAAGTTATTTGATTTAGTTGCTTCTATCTCCTCTGGGACAAGTCACAGGACATGTCTGCCTATTCGGCTGCCATTTTTTTTCTCCAAGGGCTGGAATTGTTTTTGTTTTTTTTAAAATATATATATATTTATTGGTTTCAGAGAGGAAGGGAGAGGGAGAGACAGAACATCGATGAGAAAATACCATTGATCGGCTGCCTCCTGCACACCCCATACTGGGGATCGAGCCTGTAACCAAGGCATGTGCCCTGACTGGGAATTGAACCATGACCTCCTGGTTCATAGGTCGATGCTCAACCACTGAGCCACACTGGCTGGGCTCTTTGGATTTATATTATTCTAGTTATGAATATTTTTAATAAGTCCTGAGTCACTCAGGATAGCAGTGTATTGTCTCTTAAGTCCTTTGCGTGGATGTGCTTTCATAGTTAACAAGTACAGGCACCTGCATGTGGCATTGTGTGTGGCTGACGCTGCGGCTCTGGTGTTTGCTCTGCCTCTAACTCTTGGTGCCATCTTGGGCAAAGATTACCTTCTGTGAGCCCCAGATATCCTTAGTGAGTAAGCTGACTCAGTCGTTCACATTTCTTGAGCATCTGTGGAGTGCCAAGTACCTTGCTGGGCACAGGACTTTTTAAAGGCTTTATTTAATTCTCATTATGGCCCTGTGAGTTACAACAGGAGTCATCAAACTACAGGCCACAGGCCAAATACAGTCCCTGCCTTTATTTTAAATAAGGTTTTATTGGAACACAGCCATGCCCATTTGTTAATGTGTCACCCACGGCTACTTTCATGAGGTGGGGGCCCACAAAGCCTAAAATATGTGCTGTCTGGGCCTGCACAGGAACACTGTGCTGACCCTGGTATAGAGCAGGCAGGCAGAGGTGGTTGCTGACTCGTGAATTAGAATGTGCCTATTGGATCGATAAGGGAGGGAGCGGCTCAGGAAAGTGGGCGTCCCATGACTACTCCTTGAGCCCAGACGTACTGCTCTGGGCGTCGTGCTCCTGTCGTCCCAGATGCTGGCCTTCCTTCCCGGGAGGTGCTCCCGGCCTCTTTGCTGTTTAGCTGAATGGTGTTCTCTTTGTGCATTCAGGAGGTTTCTCGACGCGACCGTTCGTGAGGAGTGTCCAGCGCCAGAGCTTGTCATCCAGGTCTTCTGTCACCAGCCCCTTGGCCATCCATGAAAACTGCATCAGACCTTCTTGGTCCCTGTCTGCCAAGCTGCAGATGCGCTCCAGCTCTCCTTCCCGGTTCTCAGGGGACTCTCCGGTTCACGCCTCCACCTCCACCTTGGAGAAGATCGGGGAGGCGGTGGATGACAAGGCCTCCATCTCTTGCTTTGGCAGCTTGAGGAGCCTCTCGAGCAGTTCCCAGGACCCGGGCGGCGCTCCCAGTCGACGGGAGCACAAGGCTGCAGGCCGGGCCCCTCTGGCTGTCATGGAAGGCGTGTGCAGAGACGAGCCAGATGCCCACAGATCAAACTCCAGTGTGGCGGACACACAGAGCAAACACTCAGCACAAGGGGCTCGCTTGCCCCCCGTGTCTGATCCATTTGATAACAATAACCAGATAGCTTACGTGGATCAGAGCGATTCTGTAGATAGCTCTCCCGTCAAAGAGGTGAAACCCCCAAGCCACCCAGGCTCCCTCACAAAGAAACCAGAGAGCACAACCAAGAGTTCCCCCAGCTGCAAAGGCGCGTCTGAGCCGGACAGAAGCCTGCGGAAGGGGAGGTCGGTCTTGGCGAGCCGGGGGTCATCTCAGTCCAGCACCTCCCCTTCCTCCCCGGTTCCTGCCAAAGTTTCTGTGAAGCCCTCCCGCTCCCGAAGCAAAGCGGAGTCTTCCAGGGCCCCCACCCCTCCCAGGAAGGAGCCCTCCCCCAGAGCCCAGGACTCGGTGGCCTCTCCTTCGCCCCAGAAGCCGAAGGCAGCTTCTTCCCTCACGTGCACTGCTTCCTCCACCCCTGCCAAAAAGGCCCCGGGCCCTGCCACCAGGGGCCCCTGCCCACCGGGGAAGGGCAGGACTGCGGAGCGGAGCCTGAGTGGAGAGGGCTCCAGACAAAGCCTGGCTTCTGACCGAGCCGGGGTCCCCTCCAGCTCCAAGCCCAGCTCCCCTCGGGGGAGCCAGGCCAGGGCGGGGGAGGGCCGGGTGGACGGGAAGCAGGTCAGGAGCTCCTCCATGGCCAGCCTGCGCTCCCCCAACGCGAGTGTGAAGGCTGGTCTGAAGCGGGACAGCAAGTCGGACGAGAAGGGGCTGTCCTTCTTCAAGTCTGCCTTGAGGCAGAAGGAGACGCGGCGGTCCACTGACCTCGGCAAGACGCCCCTGCTCTCCAAGAAGGCAGGGGGGAGCTCCGTCAGGTCGGCCGGTAAGAACGCCGGGGAGGACAAGGCGGAGAAGGGGCACCGGCCTCCAGGCTCCCAGCAGCCAAATGCCAGTTCCATTAGGAAAGAGCAGCTGGCCTCCAAGGACCCTGCTTCTGCTAGACATTCCCTGCTGTCCAGTCGCAGATCCAAGTCTTCCCCGCTAGACTGCGGCGCACCCGCATCTCCTGGTGGCCGGCAGTCTGCCGAGAAGGCCTCCCAAAGGTTACCTTCGAGCATGCCAGCCTCTGCACGGCCTCCGAAACCTCAGTGACGCCGCTGCGCTCCAGTGCGACCTGCGACACGTTTATTTATTTAGAACCCTCCCCTCCCACCAAAGCCCTCTATGCTTTTGTATTTTTTGGGTCATGTGCCTGATGTGTGTGCTTGCGTGCGTGTGTGCGTGCGTGCGTGCGTGTGTGTGTGCGGATTTCAATTGCAAATTGTTAAAAGCGTCGCCTTATTCTGCCATTGAACCAAATAACAGCCATAGGCAAAGCATCGATACCGAACTAACTGGAAAAATCACAGATGATTCCCTGGACAGTCCCTGTAGCCGTTGTATATATTTCTTTAGAGAGCTCTAATGATGCGTTGGACACCAGGGTTTGGAACCTGGGACCAGCCAAGCTGCTCTGCAGAAGGATGAGTTATTTGACCTGGGGTTCAGCTGAGCAGGACTTGTCCTCACGGGGACTGTCATGTGGCACCAGGAGTTCTAAAAACTGTGACACTAACAGACAAACCGAAGGAAAACGGTTGCTTCCTGCACTTTGGCCCCATCTACCAGTCTTTGTAAAGGGCAATATTTTAACACTAATGTTTCTCAGGTATATATACTCAGCCAGGTTAGGAAGGATGTGTATCTGTAAGAGGATTAGAGAGAAGGTGGCCTGTCAGTGACTGTCAGTCCTCCTGCCACACACAGGCAGTTTCAGAGGTAGAAGCAGTCTCACTACTTCCCTGTCGGCAGAGATGTGGGTCCCAAGATGTGGCAGATCGGGTAAAGCCAGTCACTCGTAGTTGAGGCTTTCCCTCCTACATTTGCTAGTGAAGGCCATTGGGAGTTTGAAAAGTAGTAGAGCAGGAGAGGAATCTTTTAAAGAAAGATTCCTGGGAAAAGAAAGAGGATTCTCAACTGCACACATGAATCTCTCCCATTTTCCTCCCGTGTTGCTTTTTCTGTGTTGGACGTTGAAAGCTCCTTGCCCACGTCTCCACACTCTGGTAAGTCATGAAGAGGAAAGAAGTTGCTGAGGCCAGAAGTCAGTGGTAGTTGAAGCGACGTGTAACAAAGTATTACATACACGTTCCTGATCCTGCCCGTCGGGCTCAGTGTGACTGCTCTTCAGCAATTCACTTCCTTCTTCGTGCTGAAGATTGAATCTCTCGCCAGAACTCGGCGGGTCAGCGCAGGTTCAGTCTGGCCCTGTCCATGCCAATTGCATTTTCTGGTTAGACGAGAACCTCACAGACATCTCACAGATAAGCAAGATACTGGTTTTCCAAGCTCTCTGGGGGTATCCTAGCAAGTTTTAGTTTTTTCCTCCTTTTTCTAAATGTGGAGAGAGTCTTGGTTCTCATTAAATGTTTCCAGTAGGTTACTTAACTTTATTTTGCTGCTAATTTGAGCATTAGCAGGTAACTCACAAGTCTGGAGGCCGTTTTTGTTGAGGGTAGCTGGAATTTTAGACCCTTGTGATAGCTAAGACTCCCTCGGCTTGTGGAAGTTGCCGTAGTGCTCCGTGACATTTCCTGAGCACGCGTGTCTGCCCCGTGCCCAGTCCTATGGCTCCAGAGCAGCACTGCTCCTGGGCACAGTGACTGCCGATGCCCGCCTGCCGGGATGTTCTCGCTCTGACCGCACGTGGACAGCCGGTCTGATGGCACTGGTTTTCTGTATCACAAATGTGGGCGCGCCAGTATCAGGAATTCAGTGTTTGTCTTATTGGAACCTCTCATCATCCTTTTGCCGGCAAACCACATTTGAAATCTATCTGCATCTCTGCAAAGTGTCAGAATTATAGTTTGGCTACATAACAGGTTTTATGAACACCTTTTGGAGCTATAATCATTTAGGCATGAATGGAAGGTAGTTTAATTTTCACAGTGGTAAATATTTTTATTCTTGAGTGCTTCAGGAATGGATTTTCCATTTGGTTTAGTGTCCTAAAAAGCACACTACAAACTTCTTTAATCTTCCATGAGGTCTAGAAATAAAATTTCAGTATCTATAAAATTGTACGCTTATGAATTTAGTCCTTGTTTCAGATTTAAATGGAAAAATCAGGAAGTATTATGGCATTGCCTAGGCATCTAAGCGATTACATGCTGCGCTTAAGCAGTGAAAAGTTCATCCCTGATCACCAGGCACAGACGTTCAGCCGCCGAGAAGGCTGTCTGGCCCAGAAGTTTGCAGGTCTCTGAGGTGTAGTGTGGGGAGTGGTTACTTGGTTCAGTTCAGGCCTTCGGTAGGTTAGGGACTTGGTGTTGGTTTTATTTTTTCCCCGGTGACGTTCGGTGCAATGAGCAATACGTTTGGGGTTGGAAATAACCTACTAAGGATGGTGGGTCTGGGTTTCTGGCCTCATCTGAGCACTCATTTCCTGGTGGGCACAGAATAACCACCAACCATGGAGTTCGTCTGTCATGTTTGTCCACTTAAGAAACGTTTCATTCTGGATTTCTTTCCAATGAACACCCCAGGCACTGAGGCTACAGCGTTCCTAAGTCCCGGGCCCTGCCTTCGTAATCCCTCCCTAATGGGCGAGCACGGAGGCTCTTAGGCCCATGTCATGCAAGACCATCTCCCACCTTTTTGTATTTTCTCTCCCTAAAAGTAGCCTAACAGGGTAATACTACGCTGGGCCAATAGGAGCCCTTGTGTTTTGGTGAAGTATTGTAATTATCTGAGGCTGCCCTCAACTCTTGTAATCATTCTTTCATCATTTATTCATTCGTTTGTTCATCTGACGCCTTGGTTGAGGGCCTGCTCTACGAGTGGAGGCCAGCTGCAGGCTTTGGGAGGTGGCTGTGGCCGAGGAGCCCTGGGAGTGCCGCTGATGGACCGGTGCCAGCAGCGCCCTCAGCGGAGTGACGGAGCCAACGGGTTCTGCTGACTCAGCCAGGTCCTCTTGAGCACATGTGTCCTGGAAACCAAAAGTGCCCTTCCTCACCTCCGGAGGCGCTTTCCTCTCCGTCCACTTGTCCAGACTACGCTGTTTCCATACTTGGGGCTTGAAAAGGTGGCCGTCCACGCTGGCAGGAGATGGATGTGGGGATTTGTGGGGGAGGGTGGGGAGGGGGTAGGAGTTTGAGAGAAAAATTGTCATCCCTCTAACATGAGAAACAGGAACAGCCTGGGAAGGACGGCAGTGGCAGCCTTCAGGAAAATGGAGCGGAGGAGAGCTGTGAGCAAAACTCATCCACATCAAATAAACATGTTTTTCAATAGATTGACATCTGATGTTACCTTTCATTCTGATAAAATTACTGATCAGCTGAACTTACTGTTTCCTGAAGTTATAATTGTTGGATGCAAAGATAATTAGTGTTTCTGGTTGGAATTTTGACATAATCTGCAAATGACAAGCAGTTTCTATAAAACACATATTCTGTGAGGTGGGTTGAACTTTGTATCATTTGGGATTGACCAGAGCAAAATTTGCTGACTAACCAGTGCCTGTGTCCTAACCATAAACACAAAAGGGAGCTGTTACTGTGCAGGCTCAGTTCATAAAGGGTGCATTGTTGCCAAACCTGCAGGAGTATTTTGGGGTAAATGCTGTGTTTTTATTTTGGTTGAGTAGTCAGCCGCACTGCCTTCGGCTCAGCGCCCAGAGGTGTGTCTTGCAGCTGCACGGGGAGCCTGAGCAGCCACGCTTCACCCCCGGACACAGGACCGCTCTGCATGGCCTGCAGCTACCCCCGAAGCATGCTCTCACTACCTATGCAAAGCATCTCCTAAGCAACGTCCACTACACTAAAGACGCTTTTTTAAAGGCAACTCTTAGGTTACGGAGCTCTATTTTCGAATTTGTAATTATTAAATGTGGTCTCCGCTTTGCACATGTTTCCCTCGGCCAACTTTTTTGATCATTGGTGAGACTGTGTAAAGTAAGTATTTGCAAGCAGGAGTGGGTGGGGATGTTGAACACTGGTTTATATACTGTACTTAGCTTGAAGACTTTGGTAAAGTGTAGGGATGTTCTAAAAATAACCTGCCATTTTCTATAGATTTTAATTGTTTATATCTTCTAGGGTTCTATCATGGTCACAAGGAGAGGGCGTGGCTCCTAGTAGTGCTAAGGATTTTAAATGCTTTTTTAGAGACTTAGAGCTACTATTACAGAAAACTGAGCTCCCCAACCATTGGTCACATGAAGACTAAGCTCATGGGATTATGGTGGCGTCGGAGGGTGGGTTAGGGTGTAGACCCATCTCACGTTTGTTTTAACCTGGTGTTTCCCAGTTTGGGGGAGAGGAGATCCATGATAGACGAGGGAGGCTCCTTCCCCTCACACAGATGCCCCCGATTCCACGGAGCCTCTTCTGCGATCTGGACACCAGTGTTCGGGAGACTTGTCTAGGGAACTTCTAAGCACCCAGGCCCGCCCCCTCACACACTCTGTAGTCAGTGTGGTCGGCTCAGGAACCACCACGTGGATTAAAGCTGCAGGTGTGTCTGAGTGCGGAGTTGAGGAGCCCTGCCCAGAGCCAGGGCAGAGCCCCAGATTTTGATAGAATGATGGTTGGTTTCTTTGGAAGAATTATAATAGCAAACACTAGGCTGCCCCCAAATTCCTTGTTTAGCTCATTCTCTACTTGTCTAGAATGTAATTTCAGGAAGTATTTTTAAATTTAAAAATGAATGTGAAGCATTTTTATTTGGAATCTTTTTTTTTGTAACCCTCATTGGTATTTTTTCATATAATTTTAATAAATCAGATAATGCTCATCCAAAAGTTTGGCTGCATACGTTACGGTGGAGGCCAGTGGGATGGAGTTTATCTGGTGAGCTGAGTGCGTGCCAAGGACTTCAGAGTCCCACGCGCCTCGGGTGGTCATCTCACCATTGCCGCCCGCGAGAAAGAGAAACCCTTAGTTCCCCTGGAGTTGGCGTTTCAAGGCGCAAAGATAGCAAGCCGCAGGCTGGCGGTCCCGGGCGAGGCGGGCGGTGAGGCCTGCTCGGTGGAGGAAGGTGATGGGAGGTCCCTAGGTGCTACTCTGCCTCTCACCCCTGGTGAAAACTGAACTCCGGCCCTCACAGCCCTGGTTTCTCACGGGAGGGACGCTCGGGCCGCACCCGGGCTGCTGCCGTCACAGACTCGGGCGGCTGGGCATCCCCCACGCGCGCTCAGGGCCGAGTTCCCGTGGCCGCGCAGTCGCGGGAAGTGGGGGCTTCCCGTGGCGGAGAAGTGTGTCAGACCTTTTCAGTTATTTTAGAGCAAGTGCATGCGATGTGCCACTGACTTCTGTTATTTATTTGTGTGTCTTATTCTTCAAGGTGATGCACTTTTAAGAAGCAGAATTTATATTTTTATGTTTAAATTTTATTTCTGGAACAGCAGTTGATTATATTGCATACAGTTGGAATTAAGAGAAAAGTGAAAATGTAACAAAATACAATAAATTTATTACACGATGCCCTTCAAGCCATACTCCTCTTTCTCCCCCTTGCCAAACTGCATTTTTTGGGGTTGATTAAGCTCGGAAATTAAACAGATATCAGTACCACGCTGATATATACAAAATGCTTTAAAATTGTACTGTTAAGTGAAGAAAATAAGTTGGAGAAGGATGCATGCAGCTACTCTGTAAATTTCTAAAACAAAAAGTCACATCCATCCTTTTAACGTGCAGTGAAGGAGTAGCATCCCTGTCTCCTCGGGTAACTCCGCCTGGCTCCGGACAGCACCGCATTCTCCTCCAGGCCAGCGGTCCTTCCGCATGTCCTGTTCTCCCTCCTGCCGCCCTCTGATGGGAGGAAACGCCGGCCAAACGGGCTGGGCCCGGGCTGGGCCATTCCCTCTGGGCCGCTTGCCCCTCACAGCTTTGCTCTTCCCTGTACTGTTTGCTCTTCCCTCCAGCTCCCGACCGCGGGCGGGACTCCCTGCTGAGGATGTCCTACCCCGTGTGGCCGCAGGGCGTCGCACTCCCACGGCAGCCGCTGCCGCGCCCCCTCAGCAGGCCCTGGCGGGTTTGGGGGAGCAGCTGCACGCTGAGTGCACAGCATCGGGTTTCCTTAGAAACTGGGAAGGTCACGGGGCATTATGGCCTGGGGTTGGGGCAGGGAGGCTCCCAACCCAGGATGCGTGAGTGGGCCACGTGTCCTGAAACGCAGCATGCGGCACTTACAAACTCGGGTTTTAAGTGGGAGAATTTTGCTTTAGGTTCCATTGAAGAGTTCAACCTGTTAACGTAAAAAACCATTGAAACCTGTAAAAAAATTTTGTGAATTTATTTGAGCCAAATTGTCCACATATGCCGGGAAGCAGAGCCTCAACGAATTGAGACAATACTCTGGAGAAGGGCGGTTACATCTGTATTTACACATTGTGATCAAAGGAGGGAGGGAGG